TTTTTTGCCATCCATATCTTTCTATCTTCATATTTCTGTGGTCCCCTGCTCGTGTGTTATAAAGGTCTGAGAGTGGGGCTGTGAAGTGCCTGCTGGAATAGTAGGGCTGCAAGCAACTTCCTCGGTTTGCGCTTAAGATACTTGTACTCTTCCTAATGTCAGTTTCTCCACGTGGCTATTCATAAACTGGAAAGAGTTTAAATTGGTAGGAGACCAGCAGCTGAGTGAAATGCTGTAGTCTTGCATGAAAATTATGAGCACTATGAAGAATCATCCCCCGAGTATGAGTTCAGCTTCTTGGGAATTTGTTTTTCCAGGACTGAAAGTCTGTGTCCCTGCTATACTCCCAGTCTATTCCACTAAAGCAGACACTTGCCAAGAAAGTCCTTAAGTTTCATTTCTTGAAATTTTCTTAGTGCCCCTCCCCACTTGTAAGTATTTCAGTGCATAACTAAATGTCACTATTCTTCTCTTTTCTCTGTGTATTTTTCCTGTCTCACCTTACAGTCGTGTCCTCCTCCACAAAGACTACATCACTTCCCACAGTTGTGTTTGCTTACATATATACTGTTTGCTTTTGTCAGTAGAGACTGACAAAAGCTGATTTGTCACTTTGTGACCAGAGTATGCCAGGAATCATAGAATCATTTACGTGTGGAAAAGACCTTTAAGATTGAGTCCATCTGTTAACCCAGTGCTACTAAGTCTACCACTAGACTATGTCCCTAAGTGTCACATCTACACATCTTTCAAATAGATCCAGGGATGGTGACTTAGCTAATTCCCTGGGCAGCCTATTTCAATGTTTGACAGTCCTTTCTGTGCAGAAATTTTTCCTGATATCCAATCTAATCCTCCCCTGGCAGAATGAGGCTATTTCCTCTTGTCCTATCACTTAAATGGGAGAAGAGGCAGACCTCCACCTCACTACAAGGAGGTTGTAGAGAGCAGTAAGATCTCCCCTGGGTCTCCTTTTATTTCAGACTGAACAACCTCAGCTCCCTCAGCTGCTCTTCCTAAGACCTGTGCTCTAGACCCTTCCCCATCTTCATTGCCCTTCTCTGGACACACTCCAGTACCTCAATGTCTTTCTTGTATTGAGGGGCCCAAAACTGAACATGGGATTCAAGGTGTGGCCTTCACAAGGGAAGGGCTTACTGAGTTGCTTACACTTGAAATATGGATTACATATGGTAAATTAGAGCCACATGGTCTTAAACTTTTCTGTTCTGCAATTCAGTTTGCATAATAGTTGTGAAAGGTCAGAATATTACAATGTATGCTCTTTGAGAATTTAAAATCTGTCATGAAGGTTTTGTGTTGGTATAATTAATCCTTTCTGCAACTACTGATGATGATGACACTGTACATTGGATTGTATCACTGACAGATGTTAGGAGATGTCATCTCAAGTCACTAAGTCTTAGCATAGGTTGAGAAGGTAATTATACTTGACAATTTATCATTTATTGAGACTTCTTTGTGAAAAGAACATCTAAAATAATTTGCTTGATGTGACAGCAAATGGATGCATTTTCTACAGAAACAATTTGTACATATATGTATTATGTGTATAAATATATTTCCAAATGTGTGTATAAATATGTGTATAATGTTCATGTTATACACATGCTCACCCATATAGTTAACAAACAGATGGCAGAACACAGAATTGTTATTAAAGACATACAGAAGTATGTGTGCACATATATGCAAATACACAGTAATGGTTTATCTATGTCATAAATAAATGCTTTTTAGTTTGAACTGAAGATAAGAATTGGAGACAATAACTCAAACACTTCCCGACTCTGCACCTCTATTCTGATGTGTCCTTTTTCAGGTTGTTGTGCTTCTCTACATGATCATGAATATCTTGTGACCAAGGGTTTGAAAATCAAGTTAAGATACATTTCCATCCTTCTGTTGAAAACAGTATGAATTAATTTATATGTATTCCACACTGATGCAGAAAATAAAAAAGACTAAATTCTTTTCTGCCATAACATCAAATCAAAACCTTTATAGAGCAGAACACCCAACTTGCAAAAGTCGAACACAGCAATAATCCACTGTAGGTTTAATGCCTATTGGATTTTCTACCTTTTTTTTTTTAAAGGCTTTTCTGCTACATCTTAGAGAATTTGTTAGGCTTTTAGGAGCAAAACTAACATCACATTTGGAGACAAAGAACTATGATTTCATTCTGGTTCATTTCAAATGGATTAGAAAATATTGTCCAGATTGGGCACCATGCCAAGACTGCCATTAACTTTTCCCATAAAATATGATTAAGGACCTTAACAAGCATTTAGTAATTAAGTGAAGTGCTTTGGAAATTTATATGCTGTCCACAGTTTGTCATGTTCTGTAAAATACTGAAGACAGTTCTTATGAAAAGCAATAAAAATAAAGCACTTGAGAAACATCTGGGAGTGTTATCTGATTGTGGGGGGTGAATAGTTTCATTTGTAACAGGATATTTTGATATTTAAAATGAATGTTGTGTATAGTTGATTTTTTGTTTGTTCTTTAGGTTAATGAATAATTGACTGAATTAATGGAGTAATTCCTATAATTGTATATCCCACTGTAGTGTCCATGTTGCTTCATTTTGTACCCTGAGTTGATTATTTTCCGTGTACTCCATTAATGTGTGTACTGTTCTATATTTAGTTTCTGGTTTCATCTAATGCAGCCGAATTTGCTCAAATAACAGTCCAAAGAGAAGGGGAGTGCTGAATAGTCTCTGGATGTAGCAGATTTTCCTATTGCATGGCAGAAAAAAGCAGTATAGGCCTTCAGTCTAAACATGTTCGGTGGAGATCAGGGTGATGCTTTGGTTTTTAGCTTTGCTAACAAAGGAAAAGGTTGTTCTGTTGCTGCTGAGGTAGCTTTTATGTGCTGTGGCCACTCAAAGTGATTTATGAGTAATTTTCTCTGCAAACCTCTTTGCCTTTCAATAGTCTCCAGCTTCTTTTGACACAGAGTACATTCTGGATCATGCAACAGGCTTAATGGAAAAACAGAACTAGATTAGCTTTGCTGTGCTTTCTGAGGGGATTAATTCAAACCTTGGATTTGGGAGAAGATGTTTTTCAAAACTGTATAGCTATGGGAAGCAATGTCTACTATAATTAAATGTGGATGGATTTTTTTTATCAACTCAGTTATTCCAGATTATTGAAGAATAAAAAGTATTCAAATATACAGTCTGCACCCCTGCACTGCAGGTGTGTAGCAGTGTAAATAACTTCTCTCTTAAAGAAAACCATAAAAAATGGGGGACAGCAATTTTTAACCATGTGTGCTATATGAATCAGTTTGAATGACTGGAGGATCCAAGTGATCCTGTTGTTTGAGAATTAGGGTGCAAGGATGGATTTTGTTCAGTGGAGTTTTTATGTATTTTAGTGCGACTGAAATTTAGTTCCCAGTTTATAGTTCCAGCCTGGGTCATGGCTCAGCTGTGACCTTTAGTCATGTCTGCTCCTTGTGCACAGGCAGTGCAGCAGGATCATAGTGATACCTTGAGGTTGTTATTGGAGAATCTCTCCTTTTTTTCCTATGTATTCCATAGTTCAGTGGGGTTTCTCTTGCTTTGTTTTATTTAAACCTTGCCCAGATTTGCTGCAGTGATAGCTGTTGCCTGGTTCTCATTGGATGCCTCATCCAGTCAGGGAGGCCTACCAGGTGTTTCTATTGTCAGCTGCCACAGCAGGTTGTAGAAGAAGCTTTACAACCAGCAGAATGAGTTTTGTGGTCAGAGAGTCACAGAGTGGTTTGAGTTGAAAGGGACCTTTAAAGATCATCTGGTCTGACTCCACTGTTGTGGTCAGGGACAGGCTTTTTTTTAAGTGTTGCTGCAGAGGCAGAAAGACTGTGATCTTATCAAAGAGATATGTAAGATATTTCCTCTGCCTATGAGATATTTAGTGATAGCTCATTTGTAGTGAGCAATTAATTTGCTTATAAATTGGAAAATAAAAACAAAAATTCCTCTAGGGTTCCTGAAATGAAGGAGGCAAGAGAAGAGCTCTGTGCTTCCTGTGTGCTCTCTGCTGAAACTCACCCTTTCTGGTGTTGAGTAAGAGGAAGGGCTTTTTGTTTTAGGAGAGAAGGATAACATGGAAACTGTCTGTACAAAATGTCACCCTCCTTTGACAATTAATCAACTTTGTATTTGAAAGCAACATATGTTGCATTTGTCCGTTTCATAGAAACTTTTTCTGGGACTATTCATTAATAAGTGAAAGGTTATAGAAGGAACTGGGGGAATGTGTGTTGGTGAGCTTTAGTACACAGTAGATAAACCTGATGCAGTAAGTATGCTTTCTCTGTCACATTTGTGTTCTGCAGGTAAATGATGGTTTTCTTTGGCTCTTCCTTTCATGCACTAATTCATTTTCAAAGAAATGTGTGGAAATTGTAAAGAAAGGCAGTTTGGGTTTTATTTGCACATACATGCGTGAGCGCACACATTGCAAATGCCATTTTGCTTTGATGATGCATATTTGTCTCTTGTAGGGTTTGTGCTTTTTTGTTTCTTTTTATATTGTGAATGTGATTATGCTTCCTCTGTCAGTACTGTGTTCCATGTTTGGGATTCTGGTTTTATGTTATTTCAGTTATATGCAGCAAATACAAAAAAGCTTATAGCTGTTTATACGCCAAGTTTCCTAAAGTCACTATTAAAATCTAGACAGTTGCCACAAAACTTCCATGGGTTTGGTGAAAATCACTTTCAGATCCAGTTTTTGTGAAACTAGTTAAACGGAAGAGGGATGTTTTTTGTCTCCAGAACAAAATATGTTCCTTATTGCTTTAAAAGAAAATGTGATAGTGCCTGTTTAGTATTGTATTCCTCCTTGACCCTCTCATAGCGTAAAGTATAAAAAATTCCAACTTTAGGATGGTATCTAAGAATAGTCACTTATACACATTTTGGTCAGGAATTTAGACAATTAACAGGTTTTGCCTTCATCTGTTTGTTCTTTCAGGGCATTCTACCTGGATAAGTCAAACTTGCCTCCAAATTCAACATCTAAAGCGGCTTATATAGATAAGGTAAATAAAAATGTTGAGTGCCTAATTAAACTTTGCATGTTACACAATTTGTTATTGTAACCCTTTCTTGATGCTTCCATAATTCCATCAAAAAAATGAATTATTTAAAGCTGGGGAGAGAGAGACAGGGAAGAGAGGAGCTTTCTGTGCAGCATTTCGTCCCATCTGTGTTTTAGGGGAGGTGGTGCCATGTGGCTCTGTATCAAAAGGTGTGGCAGGAGGGTGTCTGTGTGTTTGAGAAGAGGAATCACAGCTTTCCTTTTTCACTGTGATTTCAGAGTGATGGAACTGCTCCAGGAGCATGTGGGGTAGGATGGGGGAGGACAGGTGCAGGCAGAAAGTCTTTGTTCTGAAAACTGGAAGCACTTTTCCAAATTAAATAGTCCTTCAACATGCTGCTCAAAAGGCTTTTTTTTTTCTGAATCTCCTCATTTAGACTTTCTTCAAATGCTTTCATCTGTCTTTAAACCTCTGTGATTGAGAGATCCCGGGGGCTATGAAAATTCATTTAATGCTCTCTCCTGTTGTTGGAGCGTTAATGCCCATATTGCAGCCCATTGGAGGGAATAAAGAAATTCCTAGGGTCTTGCCTACACTGACTTCAAAAGTGATTGAGCTACTGTGGCTGGAGAAATAATAGTGATCATCAGCTGAGCCCTATGAGAGACTAAAATTTTATGTTGGTGTCATCCAATATTGGTATTAACAGACTGATAGTTCTGTTTCTTGGATCCATGCAGGACTGCATGGGATGGAAGGAGGAACATTTGCCTCTTTTTCCCTGGGGAGTCAGGAACTTAACTTGCCAAGCAGTTAAGATGCAGCAGGGGGCATTTAGCTCTGTGCAGAGTGCTTGTTACCCCTAAGCCTGTTCCCTATATATTTCAGTGAAAAGTTCAATGGCAAGATAAAAGCATCTCATAATCCAGACGTGACCAAGGGATGCTAGGTTAAGTTAATGCATTTAATTTGAATTGGAGCAAGACAAGAGTGAGTGCATGATCCATTTTTGGCTTTGTCTTTTGCTTTATTGACCATAACTCTGAATTAGTAAATGACGCCAGCTGAAATCAATTTAAGTGGATGCAAGTTGAACAGTAGGACCTAAACCAAGTGAAATCAATTTGTACCCAAGTTTAAATATGCTGTTTCTTACAAAGTATTTACTTGACCTTTGTGCTTTTCAATGGAGTAACCATAATATAGGAGCAAGTGAGGTTGCCATTTCCCTAACTAGTTGAAACTGTCTTTAGGGAATTAATCTGTCTTTCAAAAGATTAATTCTTTGAGTAGCAGGGGTGTTTATTGGAGTCTGTAACTATTTTTGGAACAAAGACAAATGGGAATTTGGATTTATGAAGTCTGCAAAACTGTATTCTGAACATCATCTTTACATAAAGTGCCATGAGATATTGTTTTTTATTGCTAGACCACTTTTGAGGGTTCCTCTTCTGTGAACAGCCTTGTACTTGAAGCTGCCTTCTTTACTAGGTAGATCATCTGTTTTTAATACAGTAATGTTGGGGTTATTTTAAGTCCCACTACAAAGTTAACTCTTGTTGCTTTGTAGTATGTTTTTGTCACTCCTGGTCATTTTTATTTTTCCATGCTGTTAGTTAGGATTAGGAACTAGGTAGATATTTGATAAATGAAGGACAGTGTTGTCATAATTATAAACTGATTTTCTCACAAGTCAGTTAACCAGTCTTGCTATCCCTCCTGTATGTGTGTACGGTTGTAGGTTGCTTCTTCATGGCTTCCTTTCTTTGCCAGTCCATTAGTAGATGTGGTACTCATGGGCCTATTCAGTCTATTGAAGTGAGAAACACTTCCATAGGCAGTACTGAGAATGAAACAGTCAGTGATGGTAAGGATTGAAAAGCTTTTAAAAGTTGTCATAGGTCACATAACAGAAAACTCTGTGTTTTGCATTTGTCATGGAATTTGGCTTCGGCTTTCTCAGAGAGACGTGCCATTCTACCTACATCTGTGATGACCTGCTCTTTTAGAGTATTTTGTGTGCTCTCAGTCGCAGATATTTAAATATCTCTCTTCCTCTCTTGCAGCTGATGAGGCCTCTCAATTGCTTGGATGAACTTTACCGACTCATAGGGTCCTTTATCCGATCCAAGCGCACTGCGGCCTGTGCCTACACTGCGTGCAGTGCTTCTGGAGTTGGATTGCTTTCTGTGGCATCTGAACTCTGTAGCAGGCTTGGAGCTTGTCACATCATTATGTGCAACAGTGGAGTTCACCGGTATGACATGTTTTTATTCCTTCTTTTGTTGCAGTCAGTCATTCAATTATTGCAGGTTGGAGACTGTTGCTCTTTATTAATAAAGGGATAAATATATAATACCTTAAGCTAAATACCCAACATACTTGAAAGATTTGTGGTGAAATTCTAGAATTTTATTTGCAGTGATTGACAGAAATGAGCAGTACCATTTTGTTTTGTGCAGTTGTAGTGGATTGTTCCTGATTCAAGTCAGTAAGAGGCAGAAATCTTAATTGCTAAAGCAGAAAAAGGAATGTTTCCTAGGTGAATAACACCTATTATATTGAATTGCTAGCACAGGCAAGAAATGCTGAAATTTGTTTTTATGCTAGGGGGAATGATAGTAGGGCTTGTTTCAAGGAAAAAAACCCGACACAGATGAAAAATGCGTTTTTGCAGGTGTACCTTATGATAACTAGAAGTTCAGCCTGGGGAACAGTCGGTGTGTTTAATACAATTTAAAAAAATGAAATGACCTGTAATCAACTCATCTTTGTCATCAACCCTGAGAGATTTTAGTAGACAAATATATATAGCATCATTATGGAACTCTCTGGTACTTAATCATATTCATCAAAGGCAGCAATATGTTTATGCTCCAGCTGAGCACATTATAGGTTTTTTGTACATTATACCAAAAAGCAAAGACTACAATTGGAGAGGGAAAAAAATCCCAACAAACAAAAGAACAAACATAACCAAGAATCTGATACAAAATACCTGCTCTTTTTATAAGAATTTTAAACTGTAGATTAGAGGTAGCAGTATGTTAAAAATATGCTCCTTGGTTTCTGATCTATTCAAATCCTTATTTTAGCAGACTTGGTTGCCAGTACCTTGCATTGGAATGAGCATTACTTTCTCTGCATTTTAAGTAATGTCCTTTCTTTGAAAGAGCTTTGAGTAGGGGAGAAAAAGAAAGGCAATTGGAACATAAGCTGCAATGCAGATTATCAGGCATGAAAAACAAGGGAAGCTCCATATATAGCAGGCATAATTAAGTTATATAAAGACAGTGCTTGCCATTTGACAGTTTGCAACAGACTATTTGTATTACTCTCTGTCAATGGTACAAGTGTATATAACATACTGTACACTGCACTTCATTTTAGGCAATAGCAGAAAAAAAGCTGTATTTAACAGTAGTCACTGGATCAGATGAAGATGGAAATACTATATAGCATGGACTGCTATGAAGTTGTCATTTCAGAAGAACCATGAAGCTATACAGCTTTTCTCTTCAATTGGTTTCAGTTTCATGACTTTTGTGATCAGAGAAGACCTTGGGCTGAGAAAGTCTGCCTCTGGGTTTCATCACTGTTTCATGAATTTGGCAGTATATTTGTTCCAAAGATTATTCTGGTGTAAGAATAAAGTCAGAGCAACTTTAGTTGCCCAAATAAATTATTGCCCTAGAGAATGTAGGTCACAAATTATTCAGATTAATTTGGTGACTGAATAAGTGGTAGTAGACTTAAATCTGAATGTGAGCTGTTTGATGAAAGTCAATTATTCATCATGTTTCTGCTCAAAACTGGGGCTATTTCAAAGGTGTAAACTATTAAATGTCTATTTAACTATATTTAAACCCCACAGAATATTAGAAAACCGGTATATTGGATTGAAAGACTGTGTTATGAGCATGGGAATGGGATTTAAAAGCACAGTGTGTGGGTTTACATCTAGACGTTAAAGGACTCAAGATCACCTATGTACATAAAGTGAAGGTGCAAAACAATTTTCTCTGAAGCATGACTAGTTCTGCTTTACAGCAAGTCCGTTTGAGCTTTTGTACAGGATACTGTTACTTTGTGCATTAATACTGCCTTTGTGGCTGCCATCTGTTCAGAGAGAGAAACATTAGCTCTTGGCATTATCAGAGACATTTTAAGATAGGCCCTCCAGGAAAAAGGAATGGATTACTTGAGAATTTTTATAGGTACTCAAAGTTTTTCCTGGAATTTCTAGAAGTTCAGAAGGAAACTCATGCATTTAGAGACTAGAAGGGATTTGTGTGCTCTTATTTTTTGAAGTGGTAAAAGCTAAGGAAGTTTTTTAACAACAGTTTCCTGAAGTTACTCTTGTACATAAAAACTGGATGGATGAAGTTTTTCCTTAGCATTTGGAGTCATATAAAGTCACTTCATGTGCTGTTTTCTCTTTCTGGCCTCCATAAGCCACATGTCTACAGTCCAGTACTAAGTGGGCTCTGCTTTTTGGCGTTCTGAAATTGCCTAGAGAGAAAACGTGGCTCCAGTTAGTAGGCTTGCTGGATGAATTTTGTGACCAGCATTTCTACTGCTAAATTCTGCAGTGTTTTTGTGAACTCCCCTTGCTGCTCTGCAGAGTGAAATGGTCTTGCAGCACCATGAACTCCTGTGAGAAGGACAGAAGGGGAAATAGATGCTGGATGTGATCGAGTCCCATAGATATAAGATGATTTTGTTGCCTGCTACCTTGAAGGCTTAATTCCTCTGTTGGAGTATTATTTAATCAGGGCAGATAATGTGACAAAATAGTGCTCCTTAACTTGTAAGTTAGTTCTTTAAGTTCAAGCTTGTCGGTTAGAGGGGATATTTATCTCTGGTTGTATTCAGCAGTGTATCTGGCATTCTGTGTTCTTAGAAACTAAATACTATGAAGTGCTCGATTGTGATCAGTTGCAGATGCTCACATTTTGTAGGCCAGATCAAGGACTCATGACTTTTTTAGCACTGTGCTATGGATATTAAAAGAGTTGAAAATTGGTATTATCTACAGATGCTACTAGATAAACAGATGGGAGAAAGATGTGAATTGCCCTTGCAGATTAAACTTTGAAAATCTATTCACTTATCAGTCTTGCCCACTTAAAAATGAAGAATAATCAACTTGGAGGAAGATTTCCCTATACCTTCTTTTAAAAAGCCCTCATTTTAGCCTGATTTCTATGATCGGTCTCTAAGGGGAGTGAATGTCTGAGAGTCAGTGAAAGAGTAAAGGGTAATCTGCTCTTCAACATATTTCTTTTGTTCACAGGGAGTGGGAACTGAGCAAACCATTAATCTGTCAAAGTGTAGATATATTTAATAATATATTTAATAGATTTTAAATTATATATATATGCATATACATACATACATATATATATGCATATATATATATGCGCATTTACCTTCCATCAGTTATTTTTTCTGTCTCTTAATGAACTGACTGGAGAGCCCTTTCTGTGTTTTCATAACTTAGGTGTCACGGATTGACAGGGGGTGGGATGGAGGTTCTGCCAGTACTCCTTCTAACCAGAAACAAGTCCCAGATAGCTTGTGAGGGAGGCACTGGGTGACAGTCCAATGCAGAAGAGGCCAAGAACTATGAAACAGCAGCTTTGTCTGCTTTGACAGTGATTGCTGATCTCTGGATCAGCAGTGTCTTGGTTTCTGACTTCCCTGTGATCCATATTAAATTGCTTTTTACGCTGCACTAGGCTAAAACAGCTTGACAGAGTTCATACTTTCATCCCTATATCCAAGATAATGCTGGGGATTTTGAATTGCTGGTGATTGCTTTGCTTTGATTTTTATTATGACAATATGTTTACCAATTTACATTAGAGCCTGCAATCCTGTATCTATTTCAGACAGCAGTTCTTTTCAAATACATTTTGATCACCAGAAAAACAAGGATGGGGGAAAATAAGTCCCTTTAACCTTCACTGACCTTAGTGATGTGTGAATACTACAAACCTCCCCTTAGTTTATCATAAGGGAACATGCCTTGTTGATCAACATCAGGAACAGACCTCTAAATTAGTCCAAGAGATCAATAGTTTGCATTTCTATTTGCCCTATTTTATCATCCATAATTATATTTCTGCCTGCCAGTCAGCTGTCACCCTGTAAACAACACTGCTTTCTTTACTTGTATTCGTTCTCTTTGAAGTTGCAATCAGTCTGTACAAATGTAGGTGATGAAAGGCACTTTTGAATTTTACTGAATCATGATGCTAGCTCCTGCTTGAGGGAGAGGAGCAAGACTGCACAGCACAGACATGTCCTAGTCTCTTTCCATGCCAAAATGAAATTAGGTGCAGCAGCTGCAGAAATCTGTTCAGGGACCATAGGCCTTACAGGCTCAAAGGAATTGTTGAAAGCATCCAAATGAAACAAATCCCAAGTTTATTTAAAATTTTGCATTTCCTGGAGGATCAAGAGAAAAGTCTTTTATAATCTTGATGAACCCCAGAAAAATCACTGCCTTATTTTCTTTTCTGAATTTTAATTTCCCCTCCAGAAAGTCTCTCCTTAGCGTTACCATCCTTCAAGCAGTGGGGTTCTGGCTGGCAGACGCTGAGCTGAATGATGAGGCAGGTTTTGCCAGGGGTTGATTATGCTGTCTCCTGTAGCTGGCACCACTCCTGCAATCCAGCTAAACCTGCTTCATATTCCACATTGCAAAGCAGAGTAACACCATAAGCTGTCCATCATGGCCAGGTGCCTTGTGAATCCAATGAAACAAGGTGAAAAATAGGTGCTCTGAATTTGTATTGTAGACATTCTATCATAAGAGTTCTTCCTTTTAGATTATTTTAGAAATTTTCCTCTAGGAATTTAGTTTTGAGCTCAATGACTGTGTGCTATGAAGAAAAAAAAAAAAAGAACAAGTCTCCTTGAGTTTTGCACCTATATTTAGGCTATTACCTCCTCAATAAGAAAGCTTTCTGGGATTGAAGGGAGTACGTTCAGGAGGCAGGTCAGCACAGGCTGAAAAACTAATCCATGCTCTTTTCCAGCCATCTGGTCTCAAATGTGCTTTTAGTCCTGTTACCTTCCCATTTAGTCAAGATTCCCTTCTATTTTTTTAATTGCATTTTTGTTATGTCTTTCTATGATTAGTGTATTTTTGTGATACCTTACTGAGGCATAAACAAACTTTTCTTTTTGTAAAATAATTTAGGATAATAGAGTATTTCATTCTGCACTGGTTACTATCTGAAAGCAGTT